AGAAAATTTGAAAAAAGTGGCGCTTGGCTACCGACACGCCTTCGACATTGAGTTGGAGGATTCGTAGGGCTGGTCCGACTGAAATGTAATCTTAGTGCTGTGTGTTCTCGACTTTGGGACTTTGACCAGAATTATCTGAGGCTCTTACGAAGCTTCTCTTCGAATTTAGCCTGCTTGTAGGATCATTCGTTTCCCCAGGCGGACCCGGATACTGATGGGGGCGCGACGTGACCGTTGATCCATTTTGTCCCAGTTTTTCGTTATTCACAGTTTGGTTGTACACTCGATCGGTTGATCACCTTTTACAAGGGTCATTATTGGAATGGAGCTCTGCTGATATCTTGATTTGAATTGATGACATCAAATTCACCTAGATGACGGTATTAGTTCTGTTTAAGGTGACACGAAAACGCAATGCTACCGTTTCCCGCCCTACATTTTTGATAAGAAACAAAATCGAGTGTGTAGGTTTAACAATACATTATTTGTTTTCACATACCTTTAGCAGCCAATCCACCATAATGTGTACACGTTTTATATCTTGATGCTTATCTCAGATCTTCTCATTCTCAATATAAACGATTTCATTGTGTATAGAAATAACATTGGATTGATTAAGCTGACAGCACCGGTGACGCCGGACACTGGAATACGGATTGCCTGCCTTCCCAGTGACAACGAGCAACTGTCATCGGCAAGCACATGCTACGCCATCGGCTGGGGCGCCAGAATAAGTAGGTCGCAACAACAAGGATGACCACATATACATTAGGTAGTCACAAAACAAATATGGAATGCAGGAGTATAATGTGCACTGAATAACATCTATCATCAATGTAATAATAGGCATAATAATTATAATGTATTTTACTCACAAATAACTTGCCAATTATGAATACTTCAAGAAGAGTCCCGATTGCAATGCTTTACAACTGGCGTGCTGCGGCACACTGGCGGTTCTAGGTGTGCCGCGGTATTTTTGAATTGATCAACACGCAACGCAATAAAAGTAATTAACACACACATCACCGTAAATAGATAATGAAATTGGACACAGATAAATTAAACAAATTGTCACCTTCATACTTAAACACACAAGTCCCCCCTTCTTAGATGATTGGCTGAGCCGGGTGTTCCCCGGATGAATAAACCCCAGCCTCACGTGTCTGCAGTTCCAATTGAGTTGCAACGAGGCCAGGGGAACACGTGGTGAACAAGGAGACAGCGACACACGTGACTGAAAATTCCACATTTCCATGATGGCACTAATTCCACCACTGTGGCCTATCACTTGAGGAAGAGATGCGTGCACACACACACACATCATCATGAGCTATGATCAATCAATGAATGGATGAAAGACCCACAGTGATGTTTTGGTTTAGTGTGCCATTAAGATTTAGCCAGCTCAAAAGTGTGCCGTGGGAAAAAAAAGGTTGAGAAGCACTGCTCTATTGGAATGTTTCTATGACTATTTGTATTCTCTCAGGTAAGGCCCACTGAGCAATACAGCTCTTTTTCAGAAGCGACCTAGCGACAAATGATAGCTCAATTAAACGGTTTATCGCGTGGAAATTTAGAGCAGCCCAATACTTAAACGCATGTCGATTCTAAATGTGGAGTGAAAAACTGGAGGACCTGAAGAAAAATCCACACGATGACGGGGAGAACAAGCAAACTCGAAATATACAGGCATCAGGGTTGGGACTGAACCCACGACTTCCTGCTTACCAGGCGAGGCAGTTAACATCTCGTCACCAGTTCCATCAAACGTTGTTTGACATGCGTTGTATTTAGTTTTGACAGTGATCGCCTTTGTTGTTAAGTTTTTCGCAATTTTAAAGTAACAAAGATATTTGATCCAACACTGAAACACTTTTTGTCGTCTCACGGCACATGGACCTTGGCGGCACTGTGGTAAGAGCGAACAAATAGAAATTATGTTACTTCAACTCCCAGTCTGAAGTCAACTTCGCTAAACATCCCTGTAGTATCAAAAAAATTAGTACAGAAATGCCTCACCAACTGCGGAGGTTAGGTTCCTGGTAAATGCCACGAGAGAGAAATCCGCGGTTGGTAAAGTTCAGGGCTCATCTTCTTTGGTTCTTTCGGTAAAGTCACGTAGAATGAGAATAAAACAATACATTTATAAAATAAAATAACGCAATAATATTCTCACGACGTTTCGGCCACAACACAAGCGGCCTTCATCAGGTGAAGGGACGAGACTGTCTGAAGGACAGCGCTGGAGTGAAAAAGCCACGCTCAGATCGCGACCTTTAAGCTGTGTGAGAAGAAACACAGCGCCTTGACAAAGGAATCACATCTCTGCAGACGTAGCAAGATCTGAAATCGCTGCAACCCTCAAAAACGCTAAGTTGCCACCAAGCAACATCAGCAAAGACGAACGTTTTGAATTATCTCAATTAAAAAAGAGAGATGATATTGTCGCCCTCTCAGCCGACAAGGGCAATGCCACTGTCATCATGGACAAAACAGAATATAACAACAAAATTCAAGAACTACTCAACGATGGCAGCTATACAAAAATAAAAAAGAGATCCCACCAACAGCCTGGTTACCAAAACGAACAAAATAATCTCTGATTCAACAGCATTAATTGATGAGACCAAACAGTTCTCGTTGAAACCCTCTGCTGCCAGACCACCAAGATTATATGGCCTTCCAAAGATAAACAAAGAAGATACACCCCTTCGTCCCATCGTCTCTACTATCAACTCCCCCACCTATAAACTGGCACGTTTTCTTGCTGATATACTGCGACCTTTCACTGGAAAAACCACCTCTGCGGTACAAAATTCTACTCACCTGGTATCGACAATCAAAGGCATTTCCCTGTCCCCAGACGACCTGCTTGTCAGTTTTGATGTGGTGTCCTTGTTCACCAAAGTCCCGGTACCTGACACCATCGCTATCATTGAAGACCTGGTTCATCAAGGACTGCATACTGATGTACCTCCCCTGGTGAGACATTGCTTAACCAACACATACTTCACCTGGAATGGAACTTTCTACAAACAAACTGAGGGCACCCCAATGGGCTCCCCCCTATTTCCGAGCTATTTCAATGCTACATTCTATGCTAATTCCTTTGTCAAGGGGTGCCTCTGCGGATGTGTATGCTTTAACTTAGCTATTTCAATGCTAAATTCTATGCTAATTCCTTTGTCAAGGGGTGCCTCCGCAGAAGTGTATGCTTTAACTTTAACATAGCCATTTCTGTGACCAGTCACAAGCTAATCACTCAGCCATTTCAATGCTAAATTCAATGCTAATTCCTTTGTCAAGGCGCTTTGTTTCTTCTCACACAGCTTAAAGGTCGCGATCTGAGCGTGGCTTTTTCACTCCAGCGCTGTCCTCCAGACAGTCTCGTCCCTTCACCTGATGAAGGCCGCTTGTGTTGTGGCCGAAATGTCGTGAGAATATTATTGTGTTATTTTATTTTATCAATTTATTGTTTTATTCTCATTCTACGTGACTTTACCGAAAGAACCAAAGAAGATGAATCCTTGCAGTCACGAAAGCTTTAAATCGAAAAAGTTCAGGGCCTTTGGGAAATAGGGGGTTAGGGGTACCACGCCCACGGTCAGACTCGTCATAGCTTCACTAAGTTGCCTGCTTATGAACTAAACACCGAATAAAATATAGTAAATTACACAACTTAATAAAACATAAATAAACATTACATTAACTTTACATACCTTTATTATTCATGATAATTATGACAATGGGATGATGGGGGAAGGGCTGGTTAGGAGGAGGGGCTCGGCCCACCCTCCCCCTTCTTCCTCCGGGCCTGTAATTTTGTAACAATGATGTCACGCAATACAATGTCATGCTATAATACAATGATGTAATACCTACGTCATGTGACTTGCTGAACACCGTGCTTACCCATGGATACTAAAATATCCAGACCGTCGTTGGTAAAATTATATACAAATAATAAACCGCAGTTGGCGAGGGATTCCTCTCTTACTTTGTAGAAATTATCGTGGTAACACAGTCCAAAAACCTGCCTCGTTAACAATACTATCATCCTACGGTTAATTATGTAGTGACATCAAGGATATCACTGTATGGTGCCGGCCTGGGAGGGCCGTGGCGTGCGATGTTCCTATGTCGCGGAGAGCACCGGGTGGGTTGCTGTGTGATGCCAGCTTTAGCATAGCATGGCATGCGATGCACCGTCATCGCATACACCCCGTAGATGGGTGTAGTACCAGTCCTAGCGGGGCTTGGTGAGCACTGGGATAGCGCGGGCACCACGCACAGCGTGTAGTGCGGGCTCCCACAAAGGGGAGCGGAAGAGTGTCAGCCCAGGGGCAGGGTTGCCCCGGGCAATGGCACTCCAGTTGACCCAACAGACACGTGATCTGGAGTGTCCACAGAGAAGGCCCCAGGTGGAGGGAGCTCGGGGGTGATCACGTGTCCAGGGAGAACTCTCGAGGGAGATAAGAGAGGGAGCTAGAACACTCGAGAAGGCAGGCGGGGCCGAGGGCAGAGCCGGCCCCGACCCGGGAGGATATAAGATGGGTCCATGAGAGGGACCGGGGTCGCTTCATTCTCCAAGCTGGAAGCTCTACGTCTACAAGCTGAAAGCCCTACGTCCTATGAGGCATCAACACGTGGCCGGGGACCCGAGTGAGGGTCCGACTCTTTGTGGCTGTAACTCGTACGTATAGTGTAGTTAGCTGGGTGGTCACCACCCGAGGCTGTATCTGGTAAAGGGGCAGTTACCCCTTTGTATATACGTGTTACAGTAAATGTGTTGCCTCTGAAGAATAACGTCTGCGACTCAGTTGGACTCGCTACAATTACATTAGTAGTACCAGGATGGAGGGCAGACTATCAAGAGAGGCACTGAAGTGGACACCCAAAGGTGAGTGACCAAGGTGTTGTCTCTGGAGGTCAGCTGTTAACTCTACAACAGTGGCAGGATCTGACAACATTATCAACGGCCAGGCGTTGAGGGATCACCTGCATTAATCTGTTTTGTTGACCTTTGTGGACACTGCTGCAGATTTCCGAAACTCTGCAGCGGTGTGCACCTTTAAGGACATTCGTAACTTTGCACAATGCTGTTACAGATGAGATTTCGCCACATCATGGTAGAATTCCCTTGCGCCTCCCTTAACTTAGAATGCGTTGCCGTGTTTGGTGCAGCTTCTCGTGGAATTCTGCCTTTTTGAAAAAGGAAAAGTTTTGCGACTCGACTGTATACTGTACAATATATCTAAAAATGAGATTATTATATTGTAAGAGGGTTGTGACTGACTTTTATTTGTTATTTTCCCGATATATTTCAGTCGATGGTTTATTTTCCAGCACGCTCCAGCAAGCCAACCTACCAGTGATTGATTACAACAAGTGCAAAACAAATGAATTTTGGGGTTCTAAATTACCTCCAAACACAATATGTGCTGGTGATGGATCAAGCGGTGCATGCAATGTAAGAATATTTCTTTTTTGAGGCACAATTTGTCAACATTTGAAAGTGTTTTAAAGAATAATGTGCCCAAGTTGTACAGTGCATGGATTACAGTATTTGACAGTCTGACAGATGTAAGAATTGTGTCTACTCATAACTCTTCAGTTGTGGTTAAGGATAATGATTTAACAATGACTTTTCCGTTCGTTCAAAGGGTGATTTCGGTGGACCACTACTATGTCGGAATAGTGACAATTCATGGGCTGTGCATGGCGTTGTTTCATTTGTATGGGCATTGAATTGTAAAGATGAATATGCGCCTACAGTCTTCACTCGTATATCTGCCTACATTCCCTGGATTCAAAACGTAAGCTGCACATTCAAACTGCTAATGTTATGCACAAGTTCGTATACTATTTTAATCGGTTATACATATTTTAAAACAGTATACACTCTACAAATTCACATATTTAAACGAATATGTCTATCATTTGTTGAACATGGTGGCATACATTTATGATACAGTATTTTCGATGTGAGGCCGGTGGCTCATACAGACTTCATCTAGAACTAAAACTTTGCCTGTAAGCTGACCATAAGATGGCAGTACATTAAATTGATGCATGTTTTGTGTTGTATATACGACACGAAGAGCAGTTGTTGTCGGGGCTGACACCAAACGGTTTATTACAGGCTTTCGCCTAGTTTTGGGGAAGGGGTAATACAAGACTTGGGCTAAGCTAAATCTCCCAAGGGGAAAGGGTACTGGGAATCCCTACGCCTCCCAGGCTAACAGGCTCTTCCCACAGCGCTGACCGATGGTTCAACCAACTCGGCCAGCCGGGTAAAGTAGCCCTCCCTAGCCTGGTGCTATTTCTCCCCTACCCTGGGTCCCCACTTCCCTACCGCTCACGAACCCGGCTCCTGGCGAAGACCCCGTCCACGTCACCAGTCCCCCCTCAAATACTCCGAGGGGACATGACGTCACTCCTCCCGAGACGAGTGTGACATGCCATCACCACTCTACTCCTCAACATCACCACCTCCCCCCCCTCCCCCCCGTAAAAAAAACTCAGCCGACCCGGCTGCAACTACTCCGTCATCGTGGGAAGCCACAATGACACAACACACGCAACCTCCCGAACATTGAAGCTTGACCGGCTGCTAGAAACAGAACATTAGGGCAAGCCGGCACAAGACAAAGTCTGGGCATAGATGCCACCCGGAACGGCAAGTGGCGACAAGGGCAGGATGGAAGAGGATGGCTTCGTCGTCTGTCAGCATATGCGCCTGCCCCGCGAGCGTGTGCCCGCCTCCGGGCTCACTCCCACGCGCGCATCAGTCGCCGGAGCCGGCGTTGCACTGTCCCGCTATGGCCCAGATGGTCCCTGGTCTGTACAAGGCGCCGTAGGCGACTCCGCCGGCACAGCTGGCATCTCCAACGTCGGGCCACTGCCCCCTGCGGCGTCCGTTTCCGTAACCGGCGGTGCGCCGGACGGAGGCTGGGCCTCCCCGAGGGCCGTCCCCGGCAGGCTCGCCGACGGCGGTATCAACGGCGGTAGCTCTGAGGACACACAGGAGGGCAAGGCGACAGTAATATCCCCCCTGCCCCCAGGACCCGGCCCATCGGACGCATCCACTGCCTGCCGTCCTGGAATTGGGGATGAATCAGGGAAGGCGGGCGGCGCCACCCGCTTGAGCCGCGATGGGTGCACAGTCCAGCGGCGCCGGCCCAACTGGATGCGGACACACTAAGACTGACGGACCCCCACTACCTTTACAGGGCCCCGCCATTGTCAATGTAATTTAGGGGACGTGCCCACCGGCACCTGAGGGCAGTACAGCCACGCCAACTGGCCCTTTTCCCATGGCAACCCAACAGCCTGATGTTTAGGCAAGCACTCAGCGGCCACCTGCCGACTGGCCAAATTTTCTAGAGCTGCTTGCCGCGCTTCGCACAGCCGATCCAGCCCGATTTTCATCTCAAGGGGAACGGATGACCCCTTATTGACTGTGCCGAGGTCCAGTTGAACGAGCACCGGGGGCTCGGGCTCCCTCGCGTACATAAGAAAAAAGGGGGAGAACCCCATCGAGGCATGAGGAGCTAGACTGTACGCGGCCAGCACCCCCGGGATGAACAGGTCCCAGTCCGATTGGGACGAGCTCACGTGATGGCACAACATGGACGTGAGTGTGCGGTTCAATCGTTCTACCATCCCGTCGGACTGGGGATGGTAGGGCGATGTGCGGACTTTCTTCGTGCCAAGAAGGTCACAGACCTCCTTGAGTAAACGGGAAGAAAAATTCCACCCCTGATCAGTTAAGAGCTGTTTTGGCGCCCCCTTATCGAGAACATACCCTTGTACAAACGCCTCCGTGATGGACGAGGCCGATTGGTCCACCAGGGGCCACGCCATGGGCCAACGTGTGAGGTATTCCACCCCCACCAAGAGGTATTTGTGTCCCCGTTGGGATGCAGGGAATGGTCCCAAAATATAGAGTGCCACGAGCTCATTTACACGAGAAAGCCGGATGGACTGCAGCAGGGCCCGATCCTGACCCACTGGGGTCTTCCTCCACGCACAGTCTTGGCAACCCTTCAAAATCAGCACCACATGATCCTCCACGCCTGGCCAATAGTAGTCCCCTTTAAGTATCAAGAGGGTCTTGTGGTAGCCGAGGTGCATACGTTTCTCGTGAATGGCTCGGGTCAACTTACCTCGCAAGCCAATGGGCACCACCACGCAATATTGTTCCAACTGAGCATCCCAACGCATAAGGAGGCCGTCATGCATGGCGACCACCGGGGCAGCCGACGGAGCCGAGCTTCGGGCCTTAGACGCAATACGGCATCGCAGCCTCAGCAGAGAGGAATCCTCCATCTGCACCTGGGACCATACCTCCCGGGGGAGTCCGAGACCAAAATCCCCAGGCAACGCCACACCCGGAGAGGTTGCCGCACCGGCTGATGCAACCAACTGGGCTGTGGTATCCACTGGGGCCTTACAGCGGCTGGAACCCAGGGCGCAGGCGCATTCGCCCTCCGGGGGCCGCCTGGAAAGGCCGTCCGCATTCCCATGCAGAGTCCCCTTCCTGTGGATGACATCGAAGGGGTACTCCTGGAGAACCTCGAGCCAGCGTGACAGCTGACCCGAGGGCTGGTCAATTCGGAGGGAATATTGTAGGGCTGCATGGTCGGTCCGGACGGTAAACCGGTGACCATACAGATATGGCCTGCACAATTGGACAAAGAAAACAATGGCCAGCAGCTCCCTCCTGGTCACACAGTACCGCTGCTCAGTGGGGGACAAAACGCGGCTACCATAGGCCACCACCCACTCTACCCCGTCGACAACCTGAGCCAGGACGGCTCCAATGCCCGTGTCACTGCCTTCGGTGTCGAGGAGGAACGGCCGGGAGAAATCCGGGTACCCCAAGGACGGCACGTCTGCTAAGGCCGTGCGAAGTGCTGCAAAAGCGGCCTCCTTCCCCCAGATTAATTTCTGTCCTTTGGCAGAGAGTGCATGTAGCGGCTTCGCAATAGTCACAAAATCGCGGATGAACCGGCGATAGTATGATGCGAAGCCTATAAATCTACGCACCTCAGCAACAGATGTAGGAGTCGGCCACGTCCGGACACAAGCAGTCTTCTCCGGATCCGTGGCCACACCTGACGCGCTAACAATGTGGTTGCAGCAGGTGGCATTTCTGAGGTTTGAATTTCAAGCCCGCAGTGCGCACTTTGGCGAACACCGCCTCCAACCGCTGCAAGTGTTCGTCAAACGTACGTCCAAAAACGATAACGTCGTCCAAGTAAATCAAACAAGACTCCCACTGCAGCCCCGTCAAGACCAATTCCATGAGGCGCTGAAAGGTGGCCAGGGCCGAATGAAGACCCATAGGGAGCCAATTGAATTGGAACAGCCCCTGGGGTGTGCAGAACGCGGTCTTGGGCCTGGAGGCCTCATCCAATGGTAACTGCCAAAAGCCTGAAAGCAAATCGAGAGTTGAAAATAACCGCGCACCCAAGAGGGCGTCGAGGGAATCGTCCATGCAAGGCAAGGGATATGCATCAGCCACCGAAATCTTGTTTCATTTACGGAAGTCGACGCAGAAGCGGAGACTCCCGTCCTGTTTCTTGACTAGCACGATGGGGGCTCCCCAAGGGCTAGTGGAAGGAGAAATAATGTCCGCCACCAACATGTCATCAACCGCGGAGCGGACATGATCCTTTTCCGCTGGGCTAATGCGGTGTGAATTCAGTCGAATAGGGGCCGAGTCGCCCGTGTCGATATGATGTTCAAGGAGAGGGGTACGGCCCAAATCGAATTTACCCTGGCTGAACACATCGGCGAACCTGACGATGACATCGAGGAGCCGCTGGCGCTCCTGGGAGGACAACAAGGCGTTGTCGGTGCACAACACATCAATCCATGATGCGTCGGCCCTCCCCACGCGCAGCACTCCCACCACCACCCCTCCCGGCGGCTCAAGGACGCCGGAAGGAGGGCCTGGGGTGGCGTGCGCCAACACAGCACCAACAGGGACAGCGATCGGCGCGGGCCCCGAATTTAGGACCTGCAAAAAAAGTTCCTCGCCCACAGCTACAGCTGTGAAAGCGCCCACCAGCCCGTCGAACCTCGCAACGTCAATGGCCTGCGCAGCCTGAGGGGAAGCAGGATCTGCGACCCGGGTGGGACCGTCACGGATTTTGTGGTCATAGCCCGAACACTAGCGGCCAGGGCAGCTACGACAGAGGGGGACTGCAGGAAATGCAGCCGGTCTCCCGACGGCATCTCCACACACCCCTGGTCGACCAGGATCCGAACGGGCATTCTGGCCAAAAAATCGGTGCCTAATAGACACGGTACGGCCAAAGCCTTAGAGACCAACACGGGTCCCCGCAACGTGATCTCCCCGATCGCCACAGACGCGACGACATGGCCCAAAATACCAAGGCTATTGCTGTTGGCAATAGCCCCGCGAACCGGCCGCAACGGCCCCACATTGTGCTGCAGCGACCGGAAAATGGCCTCGGACACCATGGTGGCGGACGCCCCCGTATCCACCAGGATCCTTACCTCGACCCCCTGCACACGCCCCACCACGGCCGAGGACCCGGCAGCAGCGGCCACCATGCAATGCGCGAGGGCCCGCCACTGTCGAGTCTATCTGGGCCACCCGATCGTCGAGCGCACCCCCGTGTGCCCCGAGCCGGACCCCCCAGAGATGGGCCCATGAAGATGGACCCTAACCCTGTGAGATGCCTGAGGTAGAGAGAGCGGCCGTGCGATGGATGTGTCACGACTTGCCTGCTGTCAGGGAGGCTCCGGCGCTGGAAGGACGCCTGCAGGAAGAGAGGCCTTGAAGAAAGCCCCGGGGGCGTTGTTGCACCCCCTCTCAAAGTGTCCCACCTGGCCACAGCGAGAATAGGTGACCCGCCCCCGGGCCTGTTCACCATCATCAGGTGTAATGATGATTGCTTGTGGTGCAGTCGAAACATCGTGAGCATTTGATTGTTTTATATTTTTATTATTTCATTGTTTTCCTTCTTCGTGACTTTACCGAAAGAACCAAGAATATGAATCCCTGCAGTCACGAAAGCTTTAAATCAAAATTTAACCTAAACATTGTTGTAAACTATATAGATTTAAAAGGGTAAATGCATCTAAATGATATTAAAATATTCAATGAGTTCTCCATTGACCACATGTCCGCAGCTTTTAATAACAATTTACAGGGCTGAAACTACACTACGAAGTGTATGCAAGAACATTTTTTTAATACCCAGATATTTAGACAAGAAAATTTAAAAAAATAATTTTGTGTCATATTGGGCCTGTGAAATTGTGTTATTGGATGTACAGAGTGGTTTCAACCATTGAATTGGCCTTAACATTACAATTACATTTAGAATCGGTTAAAAAAACAAATTACCATTACTGTGTTGTAATATTGTTGTCAGTAATATTTCATGAGATTAAACTGTGTTTTATGTGAATTTCCAATGTGCAGGTGATGGCGCGTTATTAAACTCGGAAGGACATTCTTGTGGCCGATGAACTGTACCATCAAGATGGTCATCGCCGTCTTAACACATACCGGTTTATTGATATTTACATCATAATGTTTCTTGAAATATTAACACAAGCTAGTTAAATCTAATCTGAATCTCTATATTCTTGTTTTAAACGCTCTTAAAGTTACTTAACCACATTATGGCGAATTAACCGTGAAAGAATTGTGCATGCTACATCTAACATGTGAAAACGACATATTTGATGTGGACGGAACACGAATCTATACAGTGGCGGTGTTGTTAGCCACGAACAGATTAATTATTTTATGATGTAAGTACGACTCATGAAATCAGGAGGGGTGAAATGAAATAGGCTAGACATGGTAATGTCAGCAATATAATCATGGCAACAGGTAAAACATAATGTTTTATGGTTAAAATAGTTGCACTGCTATATACAGCGATTTGTATACCATGAATTGTATCCCATAGGTGGTATATACTTTACGGATTTACTCATTTTGCTTCATGAAATCATTTACAAACCAGTGCATGTACGTAAAATAGCTTATAAATGCAGTTTCTGGACATGATGTAGAATTTGAATAAAGATTTTAAACAATGGGTGTTGTGTGGTGTATTGTATACAAAGATGCCTGTACCAAAGGGCTCCTAGAACTAATATGAATTGCAATTGGTCCTCTCTGCACACATTAAAGTCTCGGAACAGGGTTGTAAAAAATATATATACATAAACCCTTTGGTACATGTGTTGAGGCGTAGATGATGACTCGGAGGCAGATCTTCATGTAGGGGCTTGCACCAGTTTTATTGAAGACTTTTCTTCATACACGACTCCGTGTACCGCACGCTCACTGCCTACACTCCACACCCCAGGGGAAGGGTACTGGGGATTCGCTAGCGCACCCCCAGGCTACCCTAGCCTGGTGCTAATTTCCCCCTACCCTGGGTCCCATCGCTCCCCCAGGGGAAGGGTACTGGGGAGGTCCCTAGCACACCCACAGGCTCCCTGAGCCTGGTGCTCATTTCCCCCTACCCTGGGTCCCAACTCCCAATTTCACACGTCCCTGGCTCCTCGCAACGACCTCGAACACCTCACAGGTCCCAACCTGGGATTTTTGCACACAGCGTTGGTGTACGGTGCTATTTCAGGAATATGTTGATGTTTTTTTTCCTGGATTTTCGGTTTTCACGGTCACATGTTCATGTTTTTTGTTTGTTGCGGTTGCAACCAATTCAAGAGCCGAATGGTTAACAGGGCTATACCAAATAAATGGAACTATTAACTATGGAACTATAAACCTAAATATCCCAGGCGGACATGATGTCACCGTCCTGCCTCCATATGCATTATGTCACCATACGTGACGTCATCGTACCAGAGGGCGAGCGTGACATGACGTCACTAACTACTATACACATGTTCCAGAGGTTCAAAATGTATGGCTTTGCCATTTTACACCGGTGCGTAAAAATGCAGTGGTTTAAGTGTTCTTACCAGCCACCAGACTATAAAAGGTGGGGGGGGGGGGAATTGGACAGGGCCCCCTATTTCATCCCTTGCACAGAAACCTATGCCAACCATGTAGCGGTGACATTGCCGAGTGAAAGTGCACTCACGCTTTTTACAAAGGTTCAAGCTTCAAATCCAGCAGCCTCTCTGATTAATACTGAGTAAAAAATCTATTTTAAAAAATATTACGTGCCGTCTGCTTTCACAGTGGACATTGAAGGACCCGTGCTGCCTTTCACGAGAGTAGTTCATTGTGTGCCGGTGTCATGGTCCAAATTTGGCAAACCAACGGGATTATTTTGGCAGATCGCATAGCTTGGGTAATATTGTTGGCACCGGTTCTGGCTCTCTTTTGACTTGTATGTGGTTTCCCATGCCTCCGTTTGAAAACGGCACATTTTACAAATTGTACAGCGTTGTGTGATGCAATTTTCACGAATTACGCTTTAAAAATGATACGTTACTTTATTACATTAACCATGCTATGCATCTGGTTGTCAAGTTAAAGTTTATTTTGTTTAGCCAGGTGAGAACAGATAAGCTAATTTGAATGACCCTGTTGCATCAGTCTGCAAGTAGGAGGTGATAATCTCTATTTTTAATCCCAATTGAGAAATTTACGGGGAATTTTCCAGTTCGGCAAATTTGGACCCTGACTATGGCACGCAATGACCTACTCTTGTCTCGCAGCTGAACAAATGAGTTGACATTTTCGGCAATGGCCCACAATGGACCGCAAACTAATTTTGACATAGTTGGAAACAGGATTTTGCTCAAATTTAACATATTTATCGTCACTTACAAAAACAATCTTTGTGACAAAAATTATGTGTATAGCTTGGGGACTTAACAGGCTTCTAAGAATCATTTTAAATTTGGGGGAACAAGCACACATCAAGGCAAAATGTCGATTCTTCAAGGGAACCCATGGAGACGATTCAAGGCATACCAAATATGGGTTGTCTCAAGCTTCTCGGAACTAAACATTGTAACCCCACTGTGGCTTGTGGGACATCGATATAAATAAAAAGCACGCATCTTGGATGTAAATGAAATGCACGCGAGCATATTTACCAGTAGTTGTTTGTGTACACCACTCTGACTTTCCAAAGAGACTCCTCTTGGATCTGTGTCACGAAAGAGATTGTCATCTCACATTACCACATTTATTTAAAAACACTGCATTTATAGCACCATGCATTGTCATACTCTCTTCGGCACGATGTTGTCCCCCCATGTACTCTCATTTACCGTCATGCAAAAACACTCGTTAGTTTGAAAGTGGCCAAAATCCCAAGTGAGCCTGAGACTTTTCTGGACAAAGGATGTAACTCCAAAGAAGTCCATCTAAATGTTGCATCACCAGCATGCTTGCAGATAACCATCAGCATGTCATACAGCATGATGACTTTGCACAACCCCTACATGCAGTTCTAACATACCTACGATATAATGTCATATAATTTTCAATAGGGTACATTATATTCCCATTAATACGATTCACAGCACAATTCAATATTGACTAACAATAAAATAATGCTTTGGTAGCTTCTTTTATATTCTTGGTTCTTTCGGTAAAGTCACGTAGAAGGGAAACAATAAAATAATTGATGGTTCACTCTTACGGTGGCTTTCAGACCGCATCCATTATTTTCGTCTCCCCCTCCTCTTTTCCGAACATAGATGGACTCGTCCATCTGAAGAAACTGTCAAATCGCTCTCCGTGGTGCTAACGTTAAAAAAACGCCACTTTTAAAAAATGTTCTTGCTGTGGTTTTCACACCTGATGATAATTGCTTGTGTTGCAGTCGGAACGTCATGAGAATTTTATTGTTTTATATTTTTATTATTTTATTGTTTCCCTTCTACGTGACTTTACCGAAGGAACAAAGAATATGAATCCCTGCAGTCACGAAAGCTTTAAATCTAAATTTAGGTTATTTTAGTCATGAACAAATGAGCACGTAAAATTATAAGGTAGAAAACATGAGAAACGTATTAGAATCAAAGCATAAATAATAAGTGTAATATTAAGAGTACTTGAAATTATATGAACTTGCTAACATTTTATTATACGGTTATGTATCAAAATTGTTCTTAGTAAAATTTGTAAAAAAAAGTTCAATTTTTGAGGAGACACTCAAAACCATCACCTTACCCTACATTGCAGGGGTCACTAAAAAGATCTCCAAAATCCGGAATAAACACAAGAACCAGGTCCGATTCCACACAGTACATAAAATCCGTGATCTGGTTCCATCTGTAAAAGATGCTGTTCCAGACATACAGTATCCGGGCGTTTACAAACTAAAGTCCCTCTTTGGTAGCAACTACATTGGGGAAACCAAACGACATATCTCGGACCGCATCCGCGAACATAAAGCAGACTTGAAACACGGTAGGACGAACTCTTCTGCCGTGGCAGATCACTGTTATAATTCAGTGGGTTCAAATGGCATTGACTTCTCCAAGACGTAGAATATATTAAGTACATTTATTATATTGATGTGATATAGACTTAATTTTTTTACATCGGTTTACTTTATGATAGTTGGTTAGTTGGAGACCTTTAGCGTCCATATACTAAATGCCTCTGTTGATATGTAAACTTTGACTTTAACACAGCTATTTCTGTCACAAGCTAATCCCTCTGCTATTTCAATGCTAAATTCTCCTGCTCTGATATGTAAACCCCTTTGTCAAGGCTCTTCACGCCTCTCACCGAGCTTAAAAGACGCTATGGTTTACTTTATGATAGTTGATAGTTAGAGGCCTTTAGCGTGCATATACTAATTGCCTCTGTTGATATGTAAACTTTGACTTTAACACAGCTATTTCTGTCACAAGCTAATCCTTCAGCTTTTTCAATGCTAAATTATGCTGCTTTGATATGTCAACTCCTTTGTCAAGTCTCTTCACGCCGCTCACCGAGCTTAAAAAAGACGCTGCGAATCTTAGCAGCGTTAATTGAAGCTCTGTCGTCCCGACAGTTCTGTTCTTTCACCTGAAGAATGCTACTTGTGTTGTGGCCGAAACGTCGTGAGAATTTTATTGTCTTATTTTATTTTATTATTTTATTCTCATTCTACGTGACTTTACCAAAAGACCCAAAGAAGATGAATCCTTGCAGTCACAAAAGCTTTAAATAGAAATTTTCATACCATATTTTCAGAATGCCGCAGAAGACAGCCCTGTTACAAAATCTGTTGTTTCTTCACTCAGAGCTGATGGTGCATATTGGCCCATAATCATATTGCAATAAACTTCAATTTATAAAAAAAAATATTGTTTAAATTATCCTGTATCCTGTCAATATATAATGAAAATCATAACAATGCTAAATGCATACTAGCATTTAATTCACGAATAGTTCAGATTTTGTTATAGAATGTATTTCGTATTTAATTTCATCGTTCTTAATTTTGTTGCTGAAATCATTTCACATCTGCATCATCATGTATGATATTGGGAAAACGCTGATTAAATGGATATATAACGAGGTTCTCAGATGAGTGGCTCATCACTTCAGACTCCGTTCGCAGGATCATCGCTGATCACCTCCAAAAGCAATCACCATGCCTATCGTCGACTCTGGAAGTGTTGCGCCTCTCAACATGTCCACACCGGAGGTCTCATACTTCAATTATGCGACCTCCGGTGTGGACATCCTCGTGAAGAAAGGCAATCTTTTATTATGAGCAGTGAACACGTAGAAACACCTTCATTTCGTAAAATTTTAATAACATAGCAATCGTGTTAATTCTTAACCATAATACGTAAGTAGGATAAGTGGAATTTTTAAAATATATTTTGTCATTACCATTATCCTGATGTATTGCATCTTCGGTTAACTATCTGGCCCAATTGACAAATAAATTTAAATCACAGAATGATCCTTCCTTCAAAACAGGTTCTTCACCAGCACCCCCGCTGTTCAGGAATTCTTCCCCAAGTTCAAGGGGATGACTTCGGCTGATCAGCTCAAGAAATCCGCAGACGTGCGCTAGCACGCCGAGAGGATCATCAACGCCGTTAACGATGCCGTGACGTCCATGGATGACACCGAGAAGATTAGCATGAAGCTAAGGGATCTGAGTGGCAAGCATACCATAAGCTTCTAGGTGGACCCCCAGTACTTCAAGGTAACGCATGCAGTGAACATAACATTCAATCGCTACTGGTTGGCTCTTGGGTGATTGCTGCCTACAGCTGTTAGCAAGATTAGTACAGGGTTTACTAATGAAGATACATCTCAATCCCTCTCACATAGTGCCTTTGTATCCACCTAAAACTTGATATAGAGTAGTTACGTAAATATTTATTCTACTCAATCGGTCTGTAAGGATCCCCCACTCTCCCCTATTTTATTTAATTTCACGATTCAGTCTGCAATTCTATTCAATAATATGTTTTATGGCCTAGTGGCAGCCGGGATCATGAATAGCCATTTTGCACAAAGTACAGAAGTTTAAAAAAAAAAGTTTTACATTCACTATTAGATGCTTGTGTAATGAAAGATAACCTATTTTAATTGCCAAATCGAATTTTCTCTGATGTCTTTCCAGGTCCTGGCCGCGGTCATTGCTGACACCGTTGCCGCAGGCGATGCCGGCTTCGAGAAGCTCATGAGCATGATTTGCATCCTGCTCAGGTCCGCCTACTAAACCAACGTGCACGGCCACTCCTGCAAGACTGCTACGCAACTGCCTTTGCCACGTGATTTGCACCAGTTTATGTTGACAGAGATAACGAATGTCTTGGAGAATGAAACATCTTTCCGAGATGTTTTTGTCAATGACAATAAATTGAATGTAACTTTCCAATGAAAATCAATAAAAGTTCCATGCATACAGGTTTTGGAATGTGTGCAATTTAAAGAATGATTGAAACGTGTGACCTGCATTGTGGATGCTGCTATGGTGTAATGGTTGACAGATCTCTCAGTGACAGTGTCAAAGGAGCAACGTTTGAGTGCCACTTTACCAGAGATGTCAACGGTGGCTTGGCTGTTGGGTGTACAGGCAGTGCAACTAACCTGGGGCCCATAGTCTGGAATGATTGAGGCACCAGGCTACGAAGTAGGCATGGCGGGAATTTGGACAAGGGGCACCTAGGCCTAGGCTAAGCATACTATGCCTTTGATTGTCATCAGCAGCTGTATTACATCTGAACAAATATAAGCTAACATTTGTTAAAACTGCTCTATTCTTCAGAACAGAAAGCATTGCCAAAAGATTGCGATGTTTGGTAAAATACTCTCGGAAAGTTGATGCCCATTTCTTACCAATCTAACGCATTTGTTTTAATTACAAAAATAATGTTTATAGCTTGGGGCCATTCCAGGCGTGAGAATTAAAACATTTTGAGAAAATAACACATTCATGCCTATTTTGAGTAGCTGAGGTGGCACATAAATACCGTCGAGGCCATGCCGAATTTGTCCCATGGTCCTTAATTTGACTAGACGAGAAGTTTTAAGAGTTTTTAAACTATATGCTTAGCTCTTTCGGTAAAGTCACGTTGAAGGGAAACAATAAAATAATAAAATATATGAAACAAAAAATTCTCACGACGTTTCGACCATAACACAAACGGTCCTCATCAGGTGTGAAAAACCAACGGCAAGAAACATTTGAAAGAAGTGGCGGTTCGCATTTATTTATTTATTTTTAAGCGGTGTATTTGTTTATAAAAAAACACGTTAGCACCACGGGCAGCGATTTGGCACTTTACTTAGAAGGACGAGTCCATCTATGTTCTGAAATGAGGAGGGGGGAGACGAAAAATTAATGTATACTGTCTGAAAGCCACCTTAAGCGTGAACAATCAATTAAGACCTGAAATGTCTTATCACATCCTTCCAATGATTGCTAAGCCAGAATACATCTTCTCGGTTGAAATTGTCTCTGTGCTAGTATATGTGGATAGAAGAAGGACCCTCTTGAGGAGCCTTTCAAAACCATCACTTTACCCTACATTGCGGGGATCACAAAAAAGATCTCCAAAATCTTGAATAAACACAATATCCAGATCCGTTTCAACACATTATGTAAAATCCGTGATCTGGTTCCGTCTGTAAAAGATGTGATTCCGGACATACAGTACCCTGGTGTCTACAAACTAAGTTGCCTCTGTGGTAGTAGTTACATTGGAGAAACCAAACGCCATGTCTCGGACCGCATTCGTGAACACAAAGCAGACCTTAAACACGGTAGGACCAACACCTCGGCCGTGGCAGATCATTGTTATAATTCAGTAGGCTCACATGCCATTGACTTCTCCAAGACAGAGGTTCTTTGTAAGCCATTTGGCTACCATGAGAGATTCGTTCATGAAGCTATCCACATATACAAGCACAGAGACAATTTCAACCGAGAAGATGGATTTTGGCTTAGCAATCATTGGAAGGATTTGATCAACCATTTCAGGTCTTAATTGATTGTTCACGCTTAAGGTGGCTTTCAGACAGCGTACATTAATTTTTCGTCTCCCCCCTCCTCTTTTTTGGAACATAGATGGACTCGTCCTTCTAAATAAACTGCCAAATCGCTGCCCGTGGTGCTAACGTTTTATTTTTAGAAATAAATACACCGTTTAAAAATAAATAAATAAATAGATAGATGCAAACCGACACTTCTTTCAAATGTTTCTTGCCGTTGGTTTTTCACACCTGATTATGACCGTTTGTGTTATGGTCGAAACGTCGTGAAAATTGTAATTGTTTTATATATTTTTTATTATTTTATTGGTTCCTTTCAATGTGACTTTACCGAAAGAGCTAAGAATATGAATTACTGCAGTCATGAAAGCTTTAAATCAAAGTTTTTAAACTGTTGCTAGGTTTGCGATTGGACAGTAATTAACAGGATAATTTCACTTGGAAACTATTTTCTTGAGCAGTGAGGTCACATGGCCTAGTTTCAGAAAAGTAGGAAACATGCTGCATGGGGAAAAAGACAATAATGCCAGACAAAGCGGATGCAACATAAATTAAACAGATGAGTGTTGACGTTCAGGAATGATGAAAAATGCAATTAAAAGGCAATCGCAACAAAACTCGAGGAAGCAGCGGGGCAGGTCATGTGACTCCTATGAAAAAGGACTGAATAGTTTGTGCGAAAATAACCCCTAAAGCCTTGTAAATACAGTAATTTCACATCAGTGACCACATCATCTGTGCTAGGTATTATACATCAACAAATTGTATACAGGAATTCTGAAACGATCGAGCCAGGGGTAGTAGCACACACCTGCGATCCGTAAACTTTTGGGAGGTGAGGATTGGTGGAACACCCAGATGTGTAAAACTCTGAACCGTATGGATCTGAAAACTAAAATGTCCCTGTACAAGAATAGAGTAAACTGTATGAGTTGACATGGTATGTATAATAATGTAAGACGGGTCAGCACTGCAATTTGCTTTGCTCGTGCCATTTCTGGCCTCACGAGGGATATTTTTGACCTTTTCTTCCACGCTCGCCCAAGACGTCTTGGAAGAAGTTGGAGTCAATGCCATGAAGTCATAGTGATTGTTTTTGTCCTGCTCAAATGAGCATTGAGGCGGTGGCTCTATATTTACAGCACTGAGCCTGTGGTGACAATTAGTTCAAACATCCATAATAAAGGTTTTTTGAGATTATATCGCATAAATATAAATACGTCGTTAAACTTGCCAACACCCGACACAGCTTTTATGAAAAGGCAAGAAAAAACAAGTTTAAACGGGTAAAGAGTGCACCCCTTTATAATCATCGCTGGCAGAAAGGCCTCCACCAGAGGAAGTTCTGGACAGGCCCCTGTGATGCCACGACAGCGAAGCCGCTCCGCCGAGGGCGGGGCCGCCGCCGTGCTGCTGCAGTAGAGAAGCCACCCGGCTTCCGTCACAGCTCTTCCCCCACCATTCCCACATGAACACACACATACACTCACGTAGGGCCTTGTGGGGGGTCACCTGCCCCTGAGTTTTTACCCGAGAGACCCCCTCGTGGGGGTGCTCCACGGTTTCTCAGGGCCATGGAATTGGCAGAACCCCTCCCAGGCCGGATGACACTGCGGCGCCGTGGATTAAGTTAAAATTGTATGGTCACGGCGAACTCACTGAGAACCGCAATGAGGAAATGCCCAAGGCACACGCAATGGCAGGCAGGCGGGGGGCGGGGCGGCGCAGATTGACCTTGACGGTCTGTAAACGATGTGTGCGATCACCACAAACTGGCACACGATCACCACAAACTGGCACACATCGTTTAAACAATGGTGGGCGGGGCGTCGGACAGGGGGGATAATCCGATTGGCCAGGGGCGGGAAATCCGAGGCTAGGACAGACCTGCCCTGCTGACCCGCACTAACACGAGTAGAATCATTCTAGTTAAATAGAGAATAAACCACCAGTAGACATATAACCGTGTCGTGTTGTCTCTGTGAGTACGGGGAGGGAGGGGGTGCGTGGTGTGGTGAGCCTGTGCGTTGTGTGGTGTCTTGTGTTTGCGCACGAGCGTATATTTTGCCCGCACGTGCGCGGTCGCCGTGCACGTTAACTGTGAGCCTGTGCGTTGGGTGCCCCGTGTGTTCTGTACGCGTGGGCACTCTCGCCGTTGCGCAGCTCGTGGTCAGCGTGTACGAGAAGGGCACCGCGGTGTATCTGCGAGTTGGTTAGTGCAGCTAGTTAAATCATGCCCCGAGGAGCAGCAGCGAAGGGGGGGGGGGGGGAGCAGGAGGACGGTGGGTCACAGGAGAACGGGGAGACGGGGGGCAGTCTCCCTAACACCCCCTCCAGAGTGTGTTTTGGCCTCGTCTTCCACGCTAGCCAGGCATCCTTGAAAGAGGTTGGGAGTAATCCACAATTTAACCCGGCACACACTGCCAACCGTCGTAAAGAATAACTTGATGGGAAGTCCCAGTGGATGCTGTACACCATTATTCCACAACAACACCCGACACTGAGAACGAGGAATTGCAATTGCAGAGCCATTGCTTGTTTGAAGGCTCTCAAACTATACTGTTACAGTGTCAGTAACAGTAGATCCCAGTCATGTTTGTAACAGTACATCCCAGTAGTGTAGTGCTGTCAGTAGATCTCAGTCTATCACAGTTCAACAGTAGATATTTGCATAGTTTTGTCGTGTCAATGGAAGTCAATCCCAGTACATTCTTGGCGTGTCGGTGACAGGAGATCCCATTAGTGTTACAGTGCTGGTGATAGTATATCCCGGTTGTGTTGAGTGTCAATACATCCAGTACAGTATTAAAGAGTCAAGTGACAGATTCCAGCACATTTTTATTACGTCAGTGCAGTAGTTCCTTGCGCAGTGTTCCCTTGACAGGAGGTGTCTAAAAGTAATCTCGGGACAGTGTTACACTGCCATGAGCAGCAGACACCGAGGAGTCAATCCGCAGGGCAACTCAGCCCTGTAACCACTGCCAAAGCCTCAAGTCTACCCGGTCCGTGCCGAGACCTTGAAAAGCTCTGCGAGCTGTCCAACCGCTGCACCTTACTTGGTTTGTGCCGGCACCCGCGAGTCCATGACCTGTGCAGCCCTGCTTCGTCCTGTGTCCACGACCTGTGAGCTTTTTACCTCGACTAAACATGATTCATACGATGCTGTATTATAAAAAAAGTACTTTTCTGCTGGATTTCTGGATGGCTGACCACTTTTGTTTTGAAACGCATCTACCATATTAAGCGTCAGAAAATTGTG